CCAGCTCCCTGGTTTTTATTTTTATTTTGAGACATATTCTCATTGTGAGGCTGAAGCTGGCCTTAAACTTGCAATCCTCCTGTCTCAGCCTCCAGAATATCTGGGATTATAGATAATGTGTGCCACAGTGCCCGGCAAGTCACTGATTTTAAAAGCACTAGATGAATGGTTGATGGAGAACTAGACATTTATATTGTCCCCCAAATAATATCACCTAGATTTTGCTCCATTTTTAAGCAAAATGTATCGTTGTTTGATGGAGGAATCAGGCCACCGTGCGCATCCAGCAGCTAGGTGAGCACCACAAAGGGTGAGTCAACCAGAAATCATAAGCCTCTCAAGTGAGGATGCTTTTCCAATGACTGCAGCCCCAGCCACCAACTGCCTGCGGTTCATATGAAGGATCTGAGAGACTCCAGCTGGGCCCTCTCAGCCTCCAGAACTGAGAGCTCCCAACAGAACAGATAATCAGGACAGTGATACTTGCTCTTTTCTGGCATCATTAGTTAAAAGAAATGAAAACGCATCCATTTATCACTCTAAGAAAGATATCAGCTTTACGTGATCAATGGTCACACTCAGAGTGAGAGTCACTCCTCTTGGCTTCACTCATTCATTCAAAAATGTTAATTGGGTGCGAATGAAGCAGCAAGCCCTGAGCCTGGCATTGAGGACAGAGGAGCTCACGGCCCACAAATGGAGACAAAAAGCAAAGAGTGAAACACAAATACAGCGTGGAAGAAAGGGCCATGCAGGAAGTGTTCCCGGGATAAGCTGGGGGTGAACAGGGGCTGATTTTTTCTTGAGTGGAGGTGCTCAGAGTGCAGGAAAGGTTAGGGAAGACTTCAGAAAGGATGTGTGCTCCAGGCCCTAAGAGCAGGTGCCTTTCCAGGTTACTAGGGAGAAGGTTCCAGTGCATAAGAAGGATGTGGGGGCCACAGGAATCAGGTCCAGAGGCCCCTGTTCCATTTGAGTGGACTGCATCCTGTTATTCTGCACAGCCCGAAGGATTGGGATGGGGACAGGTGACTAAGGAGCCATGTTTGGCAGTGTCGGAACAGAAAGGCTGCATCCAGCTTAGGAGGAGCTTTGGCTCTATATTGAGAAAAAATTCTTGGAAAATAAGAGTTAAAATATCATTTTTAATTTATTACAAAGCAGCAAACATCATCATGTTTGATGCTAAAAACAATTGGGGTTTATTCTGTGCCTGTGTTGCACTCTGGTTTGGCTTTATTGTCTATAGCTGGCGTCTGTTCTGATTAGCCAGGTTTTGTTTTTTGGTGTTGGGGGGGTACCCCCTGGAACTCAGGGGCACCTGACCACTGAGCCACATCTCCAGCCCTATTTTGCTTTTTATTTAGAGACAGGTTCTCACTGAGATGCTTAGCACTTTACCTTTGCTGAGGCTGGCTGTGAACTCGCGATCCTCCTGCTTCAGCCTCCTGAGGTACTGGGATTATGGGCGTGTGCCACCGTGCCCTGCCAACTGGCCAGGGTTTTAAGTATTTTTAAAGATAACATACCTGAGAACATTAAAATTAAGAACAAAGTGTTTTGTTTACAAAAGACTCTGTAAACAGTGCATTTGACAAGGAAATAGAATAAGAGGTATGAATATTAGAAAGGAAGGGTGAGAGCAACATTATTTAAAGATGATTTGGCGAAATAAAAAGGAGAGAATTAAGTTAGACTTTAGAATCTTTGCCCCTCGAGGGGTGCTTGACTTGGTCTTTGGCCAACTTTAAAGACTGCCTTCATTTCTATGGCTTCTGTCAAAACATCAGGCATACCTTCATTAACTTTGACTCCTTTGTAATCAAACTCAGGCATATGCTCATTGTTTTAGTCCAGTTTTTTTTTTTTTTTTTTTGTCACTGTGACCAAAAGACCTGACAATAACAATTTTAGGGGAGGAAAGTTTTATTCGGTGCTCACAGTTTCAGAGGTCTCAGTCCATAGACGTCTGACTGTTGTCTGGGCCCAAGATGAGGCAGAAAACATCATGGCGAAAGGGTTTGGCAGGGGACAGCAGCTCAGGACATGGCAATCAGGAAACAGAGAGTGTTCCATTCACCAGGGACAAAATATACAACCCCAAAGCCCGCCTCCCATGATCTATGTCCTCCTGCCTTACCCTGGTTGCCTAGAGTCATAAACCAGTTAATCCATTCAAGTGGATTAATGCACTGATTAAGTTAAGGCTCTTCTAACCCACTCATTTCACCTCTAGACTTTCTTGCATTGTCTCACACATGAGCTTTTGGGGGACACCTCATATTTAAACCATAAAACTCATTAACTCATTATTTTGAATTAAAATTCCTCATGGGATACATTGGGCTTTATGGGCTAATCCTTTTACTCACGGTGTCTGGAAGTAAGCGGAATTTGTTCAACTAATGAACAAACTCACATACACCAGCAAGGCCACTATTAGAGTTTGGATACGAGGTGTCACCCAAAATCTCACGTGTGAGACAACGCAGGAATGTTCAGTGGTGAAATGATTAGATGATGAGAGCCGCAGTTAGTGGATTAATCCATCTGATGGATTAGTGATTTGAATGGAATACTGGGTGGTAACTGTAGGCAGGTAGGATATGGCTGGAGAAAGTAGGTCACTGGCTGCATTGTTGTCCTTGGGGATTGGTTATATGATCCCTGGATTCTTGTACTCAAACTCTGCTTCTGGGGCATCATGAACTGAGCAGCTTTCTTCTGTTCTGATCCACCTCAGGCTACCTCAGGCCCACAGCTATGGAGTCAGCTGACTGTGTACTGAACCTTTGAAACTGTGAGCCAAAATAAACTTTTCCTCCTCTCTTCTTTTGTCAGCTCTTTTGGCCAGAGCAACACAAAGCTGATTAAAACAGCCACCTCAACCAACATCATGCATAATCAAATTTATGTATGGAATTCAACTATCATTCAGTTCTACTATTATTTTCTCCAATGTGTTCTTTATTCACATGGCAATAAGTGTAGAGGTTCAGAGCAAGGACTCTGCAGCCCATTGCCTGAGTTTAAATTTATTAGCTGGATGTGGTGGCGCACACCTTAAGCCCAGCAATTCTGGAGTCTGAGGCAGGAGGACTGCAAGTTCGAAGCCAGCCTCAGCAACTTAGTGAGGCTCTAAGCATCTTGGTGTGATCCTGTGACACACAAAAAAATTATGGCATGATTAACATCAGACCTTGGGTGATTTCTTGGTCTGTCTATACCTCATGCTACTCATCTGTGAGATGGGGTATTTATTTGTAGCAGCTACTTTGCTTTGGGCAGCATTTCAATAGCAATTTTCTCATCATCTTTGAGACGGGGTCTCACTATGTTGCTTAGGGCCTCAGTAGGTTGCTGAGACTGGCCTTGAATTTGCAATCTTCCTGTGTCAGCCTCCCCAGATCACTGGGATTACAGGCATGTGCCATCACACCTGGCTCCCCCATGGCTTTTGTAACTAATTTTCCATGTCAATTTTCCCTCTGCTCTCTTAAAGATACAGTTGTTATTATTATTATTATTATTATTACATCTATCATTTAGTTTTGGAAACTCATAATTACTATCCAAAGATTCCTGATCTTGCAAACCTCTGGCCTCCTCACCCCCTTGCCCCCATTTCTGTACTTAACATATGCAGTTGTGTGGCTTGGGACAAAATAGTCTTTGATGTTTTGCTTCTTCTGGAACAGGTACTGGGTGACCTCCAGTTGGTGATTTCTCAGGAAGACTACCCCATCACTTGGAATTCTGTCTGTTCTGATCCCTGGGCTAAAACACCCTCAAAAGTTTGGAGTCTTACTTGCTGTGTTCCCAGACTTCAATATCTTAAGAAATCCTTACAACTCTGCCCCACTGCCTGCACAACTCCTCTCTGACTTGCTCAGTGTGAGGTGTGGCCAAACCTTAGAGATTCATGAGCATCTCTAACTTTTTTCCTCCAACAGGTCCTCTCCCCTCCTGCTTTCTGCCCTGCACTACCATGTGGTGTAAGGTGGTCAGCTTGGATTCAGGGCTGGGAGACGGGCAGGGCCAGGACTAGAGTGGGCCCAAGGAGGGACTTGGACACAAGATTTAAGGAGGTATCACTCCCAGGTATTTGCAAGGGCAGGGGTAGCCTTCAGAAGGAGCAGCTCCTTACAGTGTGTGCAAAAGGTGCCTCTCTAGCCTCACCCTGGTCTCACACCCTGGAAATGTTTTTTTACAATAAAAAGTCATTGTTAGAAGATGCCTTTAATGTTGTCTGACTCCACTGTTTTTCAAAGTATGATCCATGGAGCACCCACCAGAGACTTAGCAAGGTCTACAATGCAGATTCTTGGGCCCAAGCCCAGGACCATACTTTCAGAATCTTTGGGAGGCAGGGCAGGAATGTGCATCTTAATAAAGGGTTTGTGGCACTTCTTAGAAATCAGCAGCCGAAAACTCTCCCTACTTGATGCTCCTCCAGGACAGGCAACACGAGGTCTCACAAAGCAGCCTGTTTCTGGTCTAAGATGGCAGCTGTTAGAAAGTTTCTTCTCCTGGGCACAATTCTGCCTCTGAACAACTTCACTCTTGGTCTGGAATGACAGGGACTTTTCTATATGACAGTTCTCAAGTACATAAGGCAGCTATCATGATCTAACCCCCACTTTGAGTAGCTCACCCTATTTACTAATAAGAACCTATTCAGTTCATTTCTTCCATGTGCCACCAACACACAGAGAGAGCAAAGAGAAGAGCTTCAGCACCCTTACAGCCACCGTACCCTATGGAAATGTTTCCAGCGCAGAGCCCCCTCCAGGCTCCGGGCGGGCTTTCGACAGCCTCCCGGGGTGGCTCTGCTGCCCCCTGGCGGCCTCGGGAGATACCGCAGGGTATGAAAGCTGTCGGCGCGGAGTGTGGGGTGCTCTCCCCACACGTGGGAGTGGGTAAGACAGATAATCCGCCCCTTAGAGGAAAAGGCACGAGTTGCTGTCATGCTACAGGAGAGAAATAGAGAAATCCGAAGCGAGAAAGAAAGCAAGGGTGGGAGAAAGGGGGAGCTGCAAGTGAAGAGGAGCCCCACAGATTAGCCCTGGACCAAGGAGACCCAGCGCTGGGCTCTGGATGTGACTCTTTGCTCAGCTTACAGGTGAGTGGTCCCCGACAGCCCCGTGCAGCCTTTAAAGTTGGAGAGACAGTCCTAGCACAGGGTCTCTGGGCATCGTTCATAGGAAGATGACAGCTTGCTGATTTATGCTTTCTGGAAAGAAAATGACAGCATTGTGGAAGTGCTTTTCTTGGTTGTGTGCAGGGAAAGAAAACCTTAAATCTTCAGTGAATCTAAGGGAAATTTTTGTTTTTTGGTTTTCGTGGAGAGAACCATTGTAAAGGAACAGGAACTCAAGGTCAAAAGTGAGTTATGCTGGCTGGTTAGAAACCACTTGCTAAGTACAGGGCCAGAGTTGGGGACCACGAAATCACCTCCACGTCTTACCTGGTGGATCTCTGAGCAGTTGGCTTTGACCTGATCGTTTAAAAAGTGTGGTAGAGCTCAAAGGAAGTGCATTTTCATTAAATAGGGAAAAAACAGTGAAGGCATCCTGGGAGGGGGTTGAATCACTCTGACACGCAGTAGGTGTATAATAACCTCCACTGACTTCTGCTAAGGAAACAGCACAGGATACATAGAGAGCTCCAGGAAAGAAAGGATCGTGTCCTGAATGCCCAAAGCACTGCTGGAAATATCCAGTGATACCTGTTAACATCCACCTTTGGAGAAACAGGTATTAAGATGGTTAATGTTTAATAGTCAGCGTTATTCAAAATCGAACAATAAGTTGGGGTCATCCTCACATTGAATTTAGGAGTAAACAATTTAGTTTACTTAGCTCATCACTCCAAACACAATCACCAGGGCAAAGATGTGTTCTTGATTCAGGTTGGAACTTTAGGGTGAAAATCACTAATGCTAAATACTGACTTGATGCTAAATGTCAAAAACTTAACCATCTATACACACAAGCTCCATATTGATTTAATAACATGATTGAAAGTTTAAAATAAAATAGTATTTTATAGATTTGAATGCTAAGATTAGAAATGGTAGTCAGCTATAAAGGGATTTCTCAGGCTCAGCACTACACATTTCAGACTAGATAATTAATTTCTTGTTGTGGGGGACTGCCCTGTTCCTTGTAGGGTGTTTAATGGCATCTCTCTTCTCTATCCACAGCCCCCACCCCATCTATTACAATGTCTCCAGACATTGTAAATGTCCTCTGGGGACAAATTCCCCCTGGTTGAGAAGCACTGAGATATACCACTTAGATTGAAAATTGGAAGTGTGTTGAGAATATCACTTAGCACTTATGATCAGTTAATTCCCTCATACCCTTTACTGTCACTCAGCTTCTTGGAGAGGAAGCAACAGGGGTTACCATTGCTATGCTCACTGATGTAGAAGCAAGCGTGAGACACACGATCTGATCACGGTCACGCACAAGACAGACCTCTGAGTCACTGCTTGTTTACACTGAAGAGAAGATACTGCCAGCCATCTACCCCAAGCTTCCTGTTTCAGATTTCTACCAGATAAGAAAACTACCTACCAAATAAAGAAAAATGTTCATTTTTGTATAGAAATTGCCAAGTCCGTGTCATTTTCACCATTACTAGCCTAGGTTCACTCTATGAAGCATCTCCGGCTTTGGAGGGACTCACACTGGCTTAGAAGAAGTTCCAGTTGAAAAGGCTGGTGCTGCATATGGATGGGCCCTATGAATTTTTAAATTTCCCACCATCACAGTGAATAGGTCTTTCATGCATATTTTGGATCTATAAGTTTACACAGTGAGTTCTCTAAATTTCAAAAAAAGCAGATTTCTGCTATTCTTTCCAATTGCAACTTTTTTGGTTGACTTAAGCACTCAATAGATACTTGTTCTAGCTTTGAATTGAAATAAATCCATAGCAAAGGACATGAAAATAATTCATAAAGGAAATATACAACCAGGAAATAAGCATAAACAAATGTGTGACGTCACTGGAAATAAAAAATGTAAATTAAATTAGCAAATCCATTCTGTTTTTGTCTATAAAAGTAATCACATGCTTGGTAATACCCAATACCAGCAAAGGTGTGGTAAACCCGGCATTCTTATGTGTAGCTGGTAGTACTGTAACTGATACGACTGCTTTGGAAAACAATCTTTTCTCAAAATCAAAAAATTATTCACCCTTTTAATTCAATAATCCTACATCTAATTATTCTAAAGGAGTTATGTAATGTATAAAAGAAAGCAATTTTCATGAAAAATGAAAGGGTCGTGTTTTTTTTAGGAATGTAATCATAATAGTAACAAATGATAAGAAAATATCCAATGAGATACGGCCAAGGGTAGTATAAATGACCTATATTGTGGAATATGATGCATCTGTTAAAACGATAGCTATGAAGACACTATGGTAACCAAAAAAACACCTTTTATGTCAAAATGTGAAGAGTTAATTTAATGTGCCTAAAGCCTGATGATTGCAACTCTAAAATGTGTGTATGTCTGCATATGCACATACATATGTGGGGTTTCCTTCTCGGTACTAGGGATAGAACCCTCACACCTGCTAGACAAGTGCACTAGCACTGAGCTACTCCAAATATGTGCATCCTTGAAAGATAAGCACCAAACCACTAACAGTTGTTGAGCTAGGAGGTCTGCAGTTGTTTATCATGAGATTTTTTTTTTTTTTTGCCAATTTACTTTGAAATTTTAAAGAAAATATTCCCAAAGAGAAACACTGTTCCACACCATCAATCATCACATCATCTCTCTTTTGATTTCTGCTCTCAAGGAGACTTTCTCCTTACTTATCCTCCTAATATGCTACTTTTTTTATTTAGCTCTGGAATTTTGGAAAACAATTAAACTTCTTTTCTTTTTGAATAGTTCTTCTTGAACTTTAGGAGGGTTTAAATAAAAAGGGTTGGGTTTTGTTGTTGTTGTTGTTTTGTTTTTGTTTGTTTTGTTTTATTTTTTAGTATTGGGGCTCAGACCCAGGGCCTCATACATACTATGAAAAGTTCTACCGCTGAGCTACATGTCCCCACCCCCTCATTTAAATTATAAATGCTCATGTTGGGGGAGGAGCAAAAGTCAGGCAATACTAGGGGATAGAATGGAAATAAAAATATTTCCCATGCCTGCCTCTAAAACTTTCCAATACCCTATCCTCTAAGGCCCCCTTTCCCTGTACCTGTCTCCACAGGGAAGGATCATCAACTGAGGTTTGGTGAGTGTGCTTCTGATGTTTTCCTACGGCATTTACACAAACATGTAGACATTATCACATGAATGAAATTGTGTGTGTGTATATATACACACACACACACATATATATTTTGTATTATACATATATGTATATATGTATTTATTATATACATATTATATATAAATATATATACATTATATAATATATTTTATATATAATATGTGTGTGTGTGTGTATATATATATATATATATATATATATATATATATAAAACAATTTATATGTATAATACAAAACACCCTGCCTAACATGATTGTGATAGGTTGTGCCAAATTGCCCTCAAAAAAAGTGTCACCATTTATATTCTCAGAGTATCCTTTGCTTTGTTTCCCTTCCCCTTCTAAAACACTGAACTGTTGGATCTTTGACAATAGAATAGGTGGGAAATGACACCTCGCGGTTGGTTTACTGACATTTCATTCCTTGTAAGGGAAGCTGGACACAGTACACCGAGTTTGATGGCCAGTGTCTGGGGCTCTTGGTGGGAATTCCATGTTTCCTTTCCAGCTGGGTGCCAAAGCTCAGTGCCATTGTCACAGCTACCTGTCTCTTAGGGAACAGTCTTTAAGGCGTGACAGATTAACAGCACATCATTCTTTTCTTAGTTCTCATCCATCTTGTCAGTTTATGAAAATAAAGAGTTTGAAGGAATAAGAACTGTTTCATTTATAAAATGGATCTGGTCTGACGTTAATCCCAATAAGTATACCTTTTTTTTTTTTTTGTCGTTGTTTGTTTTGCTTTATAAAGTAATGTTCCTACCATTATTTGCAGTTAGTGGCTAAAGAGAGCTATCAATTTGAGATACTTGAAATTAAAAAAAAAATCTATACTCAGCCTTTCATTACTTTTCGTAGTTTGACATCATTCTTCAAGATTCTCAGAAAACTGGAGCTTGGGCCTCCTTAAAGGGCCAAAGCACAAATGTTTGCATTAGACATGGGAAATGACAAGCCCCAAAATAATGAGGCTTGAGAAAAGGGGAGTGAGAAAGAAAGCCATAAATTGGAGGCACTGATCCTTTCCCAGTACATTCTTTCCGGGTGATAAAACTAACCTTGGGGAGGAGGTGTCCATCAAACCTAGAAAGGCAGTCTCTGGGAAGGGGCTAAAGCATTAAATCCTTCCCTAAACAAACACTCTCCAGACACCAATCACTGACCCCAGGCCCTCCATCCAGCCCAGTAAGATAAATCCCTGAGACTGACCTTCAATGCCAGACTCCCTCCCATTTCAACCAGGAAAACAGACCCCAAATTCCTGAGTGCCCAAGCTGACACGCTCATTCATTAAGTCACCTCTCAGGATAACCTAGATAAGCCCAGTCCTTTTCTTAGTTCAGTGGCTCATTTTCCACCAGGAAAGTGGGTCCATTCCTGTAGGTGTAGTCCGGTTCCTGAATAAAGGCTGAAATGATCTATGAAGTTTGTGTCCTGCCCAGTCTCCTTGTGCTAACAGTTTGGATTGTTATATCATGACACAGGCAGTCTCCACGAAGCTGCTGTGGATTTAGAGACCCAGGTGCCTTGGGTTGAGGGTACGATAGAAACCAGTCCCCATGTTTCAAACAGTGTCATCTCAACTGCACGAGAGCCAAGTCGTTTCCCCTCCCGGTGTAGTTTCCCTTCTGTGACCTGAGGAGCATGTGTGGCTAGAAGATGTGAAGTCCACACCAACCCCGGAGAAGAACGTTCCACCAGCTTCTCAATGTTAGTTGCTTGCTGCGTCCATGATACCCAGGCCTGTGTGGTCAAAGCTCCCCAGTTGTAAACTCCAAGAGGGCTGCCTTAAGAAGAGCAGTGCTAGGGACTGGGGACTTTTTCTGTGATGTGGCCAGAGACAGAGTGTGGCTTCTCCTCACCCCCTTAGACTTGCCCCAGACACAGCAGAGGCCTCCCTGGGGATAGAGAGGAGAAAGTTCTGTGCTGTGACACAAGATTCCTCTCTTTTTTACATAAAAACCTTGTCACCATTAGGAGCCCAGATGAGGGCCAGACTGGAACCTGCCTGTTCCTGTAGGTAACAGTGTTTGTACCCAGTATGGGAGGGTGTGCTTCTGGACGGGGTTTCAAGTGACTCTGCTAGTGTGGCACTCCCGAGGTAGACAACCTCATTAAGTGTGGACACCAACTGTTAATCTGTAATTCACACCGCTGTCAATGACTGTAGCCTCTGCCCTGGTTAACAAAAGGGCATGCGCTTGGCTGACCCCATTAGGCCAGAGAACTGGTCTAATTTCGCCTTGATGGGTGGAAAGCCGAGTAAAGGATACAGGGAAGGCTGATGTTTAGGCAGGACTACAGTTACCCTGATTTTCTGTGGGCAAGGACACCATGGGGACAGTTTTTGCACAGCAGGGTGGAAAAACAGAGCTTTGTGAAGGGAGATTTGAATCATAGTTTGTGGACTTATTCATTAAATATGTTGAAGACCTACTATGTGCCCAGAAGACAAAGACTCATACACCCTCCACAGTTGCTTCCAGGAGAACAGCAATGGGCCCACTGGGAATGACCTAGTGTGACATGTCGTAGGGGATCAGGGCTGCAAGTTCCTCTGTGTTCAGCTCTGCTGCTTTGTGTCCTGTCATCTGAGCGCATTGAAAACTGTCTGTCTGGTCATGACAGAGCAAGTCTGGCAGTTCTTAAGACACCTGAGATCCAGTCTGGCTGTGTGATCTTGGGCAGGTGCTTAACTTTTCTGACCCTCAGTTTCCTCATCTGTAAATGGGGATAATAATGCTTACCTGGCTAAATAAGATCCGGCAGCTGCAGGTCTAATCCACAAGGCGCTATGCTCTTGCCGAGTCCCCGACCTGCTCTGGGAAGCCTTTCCTGTCTAGGTTCCCCCCTTTATTCTTGCTCTGGTGTCAGGTGGAGAGATTGTGGACTTTGAAGTATAAATGGAGTCCCAGGGCCTCATTTCCAACCCCAGTTTTACTGTTTACTGTGTGACTTTGAGCAAATGAATTGACCTGAATCTCTGTTTTCTGTAAAACTGCCTTCTGAGGGCCCTGGAGGATTAAAGGAGGGCCACACGGGGAGGACCTTGGCAGGGCATGGTGATTTGCCTCCGTTGGGACCAGCCCCCTCCTAGCACACTGTCTCCCGCTGGGGGACAGAAGACCCGGCAGGTACAGAGCCGGCTTGGAGCACAGAATATCCTAGAAGCAGAGGGATGGGACATAAAAAAACCCAGAGCCTACAGCTCTAGCTAACTCATGCCACCTGCAAGTTAACAGAGGGGAGACACTGCCAGAAGAGCTGCCTGCCAGGGTGGCCTCCTGCCAGCAGGTGCGTGCCCACGACAGGCTGTGGAGGTGATCATATCTGCTACTATCATCCTCCTCCCCTCTGTATCTGCTCCACCAATCCTGCCCAATACTGCCTGGCCCCTCTCCAGCTGCCACCCTCACCCCGCTCTGTCCCCAGAGGCCCTGCCAGCAGCATTGCTCACAGGTTTTGGTGGCCAGGTTTGCAAACCTCCTCCTCCATACTAGGAACAATGACTGCTTTCCTGCGGAGCCACATGCCTTCAGAACAGTTCCTGGAGAGGCTGTGTGAGAGAAGTCAGGATGTTCACCCAGATTCCACCTGGAGCTTCCAGGCCCCACTGAGGCCTCATTTCAAAGCAATGAAATGGTAGAAAATGGTAGAACTACCTGTACCCAGGCACCAAGCATGAAGGAATTAAAGAACCCTCCCGCTTCCTCCAGCTGTTGCCCCTTCTAATGTCTTTATGTTACCGGGCAGGGAAATCTGCTGCCTTGATTGGTTGGATTTTTGTTGTGTGTTTTAAATTCATGGATGTTTCTTCCAAGGAAGGGAAATCCCTTTCTCCCAGTGTCAACCAATTTGCTCAGATGACAGCAAATCCACAGTGAAACCTGAGTGGCACTTAGGTCTTGGTTCCAGGCTGATGATACATGGTCAAGTTCATGGTGACTCTTCAGCCTCAGGTCCACAGAGAGCGACATTATAATGGAGAGAAGTTGAACATGTGTCAGGAATTGAGAAAGACCCCAGCTCTGTCCACATATGTGGATCAAATTTGGGCTCTGCCAGTTGTCAGCCCTGGCTTTAGGGCAAATCAGAACCTAAATGAACCTCCCAGGCTCTATCTATAAAATAGAGTTAAACTAGAGGACTGTCAGGGACTAAATATGAGAGTGGTCACACAATGTCTGGCGTGGAGCGGTTGTGTAGTAAGCCACAGCTGTTTTTCTCTCTCTCTCTAGTTCTGTGTCTTCCTGGCTGGGTATGATCATGAGCCTGTTAACCTCCAGCAGCTTCATTCCCCAGCTGTGAAATATGAGATGTTTCTCTCAGCCCCAAGAACCAGGCCATCTCTGCAGGTGGACCCACACTGACACTGGCACCCAGGCTCCCATGCTGACTGAGGCAACCCTGCATACCCCAGAGACCCGCCCAGAGACAGTCACTGGTGTTAGAACACCCTTCCCTCAACCTTGCTAATGAATTATTTTTTATTTTTATCCCCATAACTTTGCCAGTGAGCAAGAACAATGCCAGGCGGCCTGGAGAAGGCGTGTCATCAGTGCATCTCTAAAATCGCCAGCAATGGTGAGTCATGGTCCTGGGAAATGCCCTAGTGAAAGGGTTTGGGTGTCTGGAGTCACAGGATGAGCTAGAGCCAGAATGAGTCCTGTGAATGGTCCATGCTTGGCCCCAGGTTGGAGCTGGGGAAGTGGCCTGTTCTCTGCTGGCTGCTTCTACTCCTTCCTTATTAACCTCCAGGACAAAGCGTTCAGCTCAGACACCTGTGAGTTCACGTACAGGCTTTTGTGAATGGAGGCACCGAGACACCAGTGTATACGGCACCAGAGCTGGGCAACATGGCAGGGAGATGGGAAACTTTGGATTTGGATTTTGGGCAGTTTTTGCTCACCTGTACCCCACTTCATGTCCTTGACAAATTGGACTTTCCTGCACCATCACTTGCTGGGGTCCTTTGTGTTCAGAGGAACTGGGCCACATTACACAAAGTCCAGTCTCTATTGTGACATTTGGGATATCCCCAAGGCAGAACCCATGCCTCAGGACTCCTTGAGATGGAATTATTTACCTCACAGTGGGATGTGTCTGATGTTTATGCTGATGAAATGTGAATTAAGGGAACACTGTGGCAAGCCTTGAGCAATCAATTTTAGAGTGGCATTATCAGCAAATGGCAGTCAGTGCACAGAATGGGCTATGGTAGAGTGGGGAACAAGAGGCTGATAGAGGGGTGCCTGCCTCCTCATGCTTACCTCTTGGTACTCATGTACTCTCATGAACTCCCCACCTCCCACCACTCCTCCTAGGAGATTTCCTGCACCCCCAGGATCTCCAGTAATGCCTGACACATAGTAGGAGCTCAATAATAGCTGCCAGATGACCAAGTGGGTACATGAATGGAATTGCCAGATTATAAATTCTCCCTTAGCTTATGTGGCCAACATAATATAACATCCATCTTATTCTCCTGAGACATTCCTAACATTGTTCTTCCACAGAAAGTTCTGGGAGCTATAGCTCCCTTAATCCTTGGATGAATATAACTATCATACACATACCCACACCCCACACCATATATATATATATATATATATATATATATATATATATATATATATATATGAATTGCTGAGGGCCAGGGTGGGGCAGAAGTGCTGGCACCTCTGTCAGGTGCTGCTCTGCTGCTCTAGAAATGAAAACACATGGGTTATTTTCACTGCTTGCAGGGATACAGACACCATTAGCTACACCATCACTCTAGATCCTCCTGAAATTAATCCCTCCCATCCCTACACACATACACATATGCATCCTTCCTGTCCATCAATGAGAACCCACCTGGATCATCAGGTTGGCAAGAGAGGACTTACTCAGGAAAAAAGGGATTATTATAGGATGGACATGTGGTATCTCTCAAAAGCTCACATTTGATCCACTGATATGGATTAATTGGGTGGTAACTGTAAACAGGAAGGGCATGTGGGAGGACATAGGATATTGGGGACATGCCTTTGGGGTTTACATTTTGTCCTTGGTGAGCAGAGCGCTCTCTCTCTCTCTCTCTCTCTCTCTCTCTCTCTCTCTCTCTCTCTC